GGAAGCACTGTCTGACGCGTCTGCCTCCGCGACCCGAAAGGAGAAGGGGCGATGGAAGATGAAGATGAAGAAGATGAAAGTCAACAGACAAGTTGGTCATTAAATTGTACGGCCTTCGTGCAAAACTAAGGGATAACTCTTTCTTCTCTTATATCCTACCTGTCTGTTTGTTTCCTTTCTCCTAAACCTTAAGGAAAAGTTTTTCTCTATATCGTTTTACTCGTTATAAGACAATTTGTTGTTAGTTTCTTTGTGTGATCATCACCTGGAGCATAAGCAGATCGTCTAGGTTTTGTGATATCCGCTATATTTGTAGATTTTAGCATTTGCTATGAGGCATTAGTTATTACACATTCATACTGAACATTCCTCTTCAAAAGCAGTTCCTCCTCGACCTTATTCATCCATGTTGTACGCTGTCCTCCTGGTGACATCTTGCTGTTTCGTCTCCCACACGAGAAGTTCATGGGTTGGACTAAAAGGTTTATGCTCAACGGGTATTTAGAACAGGGCCAACCTTTGTTTCATAATGTCGTTATCTACGGAACGCCTGTGCCAAGAATAAGGTACAGTCGTCCGTTAGAAGGTACTGCATCGAAGTCAATGTTATTGTATGCAGTACAAATGAAATGCTTGGTTCTTTGTTAAAGGAACTGCTTCCATGCCATAATAACACTTACTTGAACCTGACTGCGTTTTTCACCTGGGACATTACGTCAACTTTGAAGTATTTGTAAGCTTCATTGATACTGGCACTTCTGACCGGTCACTAAGTGGGGGAGGGGAGGGGCACTAAAATAACTCTTTACTTCCTTTTGGTAGACCGACTGCACCGCTTCTTCATATTGTCGCCAGTGAGCATTTTTATGTTTGTGTTTTAACCACACGACGTCGATGTGATCAGGCGAGTGTCATACGAAGTTGCACTACGATCACACAGTGATTGGACAAAATGCAATTTCCATGCCTAGCGATAGTCGCTGGTAAGGAGCTGAGGCATTTGCGGCTGATTAGGATGTGACCTAGTTGAAATTTGAAAAGAATTTGACTTCCTTAAGTAGCATTGATGGGAAACGGTTTACAGTCTTATCCAGTGAAGTACTTTCGGTATGTTTTCTGACGAAACACTGAAAGCTTTGGTAGGAATGGCCAAAATGCAGATAGCAGTTCTGGCTTTAAATCGGTGCTGAATCAGCTCTAATCTTTAAATCTAATCTAAGATTGATTCTGGTTCAAAATGAAGTTTTTTCAGAAGAAATCATGAAAGGTGATTGGTAATTTAAA